ACAGGACTGAATCGTTAGGTTTTTGTTTGAGTTTTTTTCGAGCCTTTCAAGATGGTTTGGTTTAGATTTGAGTTTTTCTCAAATCGGTTTAAACGGTTTGGTTTGAAAATTTATCAAAACCCGTAAAAGTCGGACTGCTACACCCCTAGTTCAGCCAAATTTATCCATCTCGAGTTGTAATTGTCACCTTCTAACAGCCGTCACCATGTGGCACACTCTGCACTACACCACTTATTGTATTAGGAAATAAATAAATATTTACAATTATTATTGCTATCCAAAAAAATATATATCAACTTGTAATAACGGCACAAACCCAGCTCTACTAGTGGCATTGCGCTCGTGTGGGCTTTAGCAGACCCTACTAACATACATGCCTTCTCTCTTTAAAATATTAATAATATGCTTTGTGTTAGATTTTCAATATTTTGTAATTGGCGATTCTATAAACAAAAGGATTGAATTGTACTATGTTTAAAAAGTCAAGGAGTAATGTGCAAATAGTTAAAAATAGGGTTATTAGATCTAGGGTTCGAGAACGGCAAAAAGAGGAAAACGACGTAGATTTTCGCTAGACTGTCCCTAAGATTTGGCTCAATCTACAAAAGTAGAAACAATGTTGCTAGACTGTCGCCCCTACTTCGTTCGAGAGACAGTCTATTGCCTGACTGTCGCTGAGCCCTCGCTCGAGCGACATGTTTATTCCAAATTTTTATTTCGCGTTTTAAAGGCTTTTTTCCTGATCCATTCATTTTTGTAACATACATATATATACCAAAACACTTATGTACGAAATAGATGAGGTTGAACATTGAGAGAGTTACATCTGTGAGAGATTCATTCAATTTCTTCTTTCAACCTTCATCTACTTTGATTATTTTGGTGAGAAAAACATCGTTTCTATAACCCAAATACCAAATTGTTTTTCCTCTACATCTGGTCAGAGTTCTGAAGATCGATGAAGTTTGACTGAAGTTTCAGTTTGTGAAGAACGCGATGTTCTTCGAATATCCACAGGAGATAAACGATTTCACAAAGTTAGGAGTTGTTGCAGGAGAACAGAATCCAATAGAGCTTTGGAAACTGCAGTTGAGAGTTGTAGGATCACAAAATTCAGGAAAGCTGTTGAAATTGCAGTCAGGAGATCAGATAGTACGTGTCGTCGTCTAGCTTGGTAGACTGTAAGTTACGTATAACTTATAGTGGATTGTTGGCTGGTAAAGTTCTCGGAGTTTTTTCTAGTTTGGTTTCTCCGTGATCATTCTGGTGTTGATTTACTTCTTTCGTTATTGTTTATTGATTGATCACATAAATTGCGGTATTCAAATTTAGGACTAAAATGACTTTCATGTTTAATCATCTAGGCTAGAATTAAAAAGTGACTTGTTGCTGTTTAATTCGTAAAATATTTTTAATTTCCCATAAAATAACCTTTCACCCCACTGTAGGTATTATTAGGTTCGAACCGTGTAACTTTCGATTGGTATCAGAGACTTAATTCAATTCCTGACCATTTATAACATCTAGATGAGTCAGTCATTGTCTGTGCTTCCGTTTTCGACGGAAGCAACTATGCCTATGAAAAGTTCGATTGTGAGTCTTCCTATTGCAGGTGTAGTCACACCCACTAATATATCTATATAGACTAAAATTAATCTAAATGAATGCAACTGGAATAGTATAGTATTACATGCTCTGTTCATGGCTGTATCTGGTGAAGAGTTCAGGCGAGTGTCGATGTGTGAAACTGTTAAAAAAGTTTGGAATATTCTAGAAATCACACACGAAGGAACTAAAATAATTAAAAATTCTAAACTGCAAATGTTAACCACTAAGTTTGAAGAGATTAGAATGAAAGACAATAAATCGTTTGATGAATTCTATGCAAAATTGAATGATATAGTTAACTCTAACTTTAACTTAGGTAAAAGGATCCTCGAGACCAAAATCGTTAGAAAACTTCTTAGATCCCCGCTCGAGAGGTTTAGACCTAAGGTTAATACAATAGAAGATAGCAATGACTTAGATGTCGTTAAGATTGAAGAACTTGTAGGATCACTTCAAGCTATGAACTCACTGTCTCTCAAGTTAAAAAATTAAATCAATTGCCATGAACACCATTAGAAAAGAGGAGAGCGAGTTTACTGATACTGAGACTCTTAGGGACGACGAAATTGCTTATTTCGTTAAAAAATTTCAGAAAGTGATGAGGAATAGAAGAATGGCTCAATAGCGAAATAGTGAAATCTCTATTAAATTCTCGAGAGGTAGGCGTGAGAAAAACACCTCTAGGACTCCTGTTAAGAAACCTCCATATGTCCAATGCCATGAATGCAAGGGGTATGATCACATTAGGAGTGAATGTCCTAATTTGAAGAGGAGTTCGGGTTTGGAACGTCGTAAGGCTTTAGCTGTGACCTTGAGTGATGAGGTGTTAGAGACTAGTTCTCCTAAAGAGACATCTGGTGGTGAGGGCGATCAAAAATTCATGGCCTTCACCTCGATTGCTACAATCGAACCTGACCGTGAAATTGAGAAGATTGAAAGGGAGAATGAGTGTGAACAGTTTGAACAAGAATTTGAAGATAAGATCGACATTCACGAGTCTTATCGTCAATTGTTTAAGGAGAGTCTCAAAATTAAGAAGGTCAATAAAGCCATCTAGAAAAAGATGAACGAACTTGAAC